ACGTAGCACTGGAACATTTGGTACAGAGATAGATTGGACCTCTGGGCAGAAGATAGGCTAATTTAAAAAGAGAGAGGACCAACCCCAGAAGGTGCTCAAACAGGGATTTTGAGATTTCCGATGGAAATTTTTGTTTATAAATGGTCGCCGTGGGTTTCAAAGCTATAATAATAATTATTATTGGTTGCTTTTGGTTTCAAATTGTTGTTAGGTAACCGTTTTATTATAAAAAAAAACATATTATTCATATAGCGTTGGTATTTTTAATGAGCAACAAAGTGCACGGGATCAGCTAGTTATTAATTAAAAATATAATTATTTTTTGAAGATATTATGTCTTACCATAGTAACTATAATTTACTGGTGCACAAGGTTCCATTTAAATTGCAGATGCAAAATCATTATTTCTATAAAATGTCCTAGTATTGATGACACTATTTTTAAACATTTTTTTTTATAGCGACGTTGTGGAAGAGATAGTCCTGCTATTTACAAAACGTATTAAATAATATATACAGTACTTTAGGTCGAGCTTATTATTATTATTATTTTTAGGATAGAATTAAATGTATTTTCAGAAATTTAATTAAAAAAATATAACAAAAATTATTGTATTAATATTATATAATTTATAGACATCACATAATATTATGTCACATTTTAATTATTTATATCATAATATACAGCAAGCTTATTAATATTAATTAAAACTGAGCTTTGAATAAATGAAAAAAATAATTTATTCGTTTTCACTTAAATAATCCTACTCTCGACAGTTGACAGTACCACTGTACCAAAATAATATAGTCGGTTTATCCAGATTGTACATAAATAAATTGCATAAAAATAATGTTAGGATATACCTTTATGAAAAATAGAAATGTATAGTTATCATAATAAAATCGAAAGGGGCCTGGTGTGTTGGCCTCGGTCATTAACGAATTCTGAGGTATAGCATCGGCTGGCGTCACTAGTTGGAGGATGGGTGACCACCCAGATTTTAATTGACCTTGCCCCTCATACACACGTTCCTTAACCAACCTTAACCCCCCTACAAAATGCTAATGTCCATATAGTTGCCGATTCTTAAGATTAGAAAAAAAAAATCAAAAAAAAAACACCTAAAATAAACGGATAATCTTTAGGATACCAATTATTTTATATAATATATGTGTGTAGAGACTATAATATTATAGAGGTACATCGTATACATATTATAAAGAGAGAATAAAAATAATCTAGAAACTAGGTCCAAAACTCTTGCATAATGTAAGTGAGGTGTAACGTACAAAGGAATTTCTCGATTTTGTGTTTGTGATTAGTAAAAACATCATCAGTAAAAAATGAAAAAGTGTTAATTTCCTATAAGGTAAAATAAAAAAAAATTTTGATTAAAAAAGAAACATAATGAAAACCTACTCACAAAAGGCAGATTTATAAACTAAGATTATTTAATTAATCATATTAATTACAATAATTGATAATCAATGTTTTGTTCAGAGTATTTAAACTGAAGTTGGATTCTCATATGAAATCATATAAGTTAATTATTAATTATATAGAAATATAATTTTTATCGTACTTTATAGTTTATATAACATTCAAAAATATTCCTACTCGCCAAACCCCTTAAACGAGAGCTTCAGATATACGCCCCTGGAAGTTCATATATTAATATAAACATAATACTACCTTGAAAATATATTATACGTATTTATGTATATGTGCATTGTAGATGTTCTTGAAAATTTATCGTCAAGTGCAACACGCAAACACAAGCACTAAATGCTATTGCCATACGGCTTGTTGTTTTAATTAAAAAAAAATATAATCGAGCACGCCATGGTTTGGTATAGTATGCGTGGTGATGTGGACCAGAAGTGGGGGGTCTGGTGGAATGTACAAATAAGTTAAAAACTTGTAAAAAACATAATATTATATACTCGACCGTTTTTATTGGCACAAACGGTCAAGTATTCAGTTTATTATTATTATTAATATCGTAAGAGCGGGATACTTTACTCCAGGCGTTAAACATTGCTCCAAAAAAATATTTATTGATATCAATCGTAGCACATTACTATTTTGAGATCAGAGATTGTAGTTTTTTTTATATTATTCTTATTAACATTACTAATTTTTTCAAACATTACGAACATCAATCTATTATAGTTTGCCTCCAAGATGTATGTCATAAAAAAAATTGTTTTCAAAAACACAAAAACACATAACGGAAAAGTTATCCAAAATCTAGGGGATCGAAATTTAATTTAAAATGTATTGATAAAAGACTTTTAATCAACTAAAAAAAAAAAAAAAAAATTATATTATTCAATTATAATATTATGTATAGGATCAAATAAGTTAAAACACAAGCTTTAAACATTACACCAATAGTTATTATACGCATTAAAGTAAGGTAATTATTTTAATCATTGTGCAATGTAACCTGCAATGTATTATTGTATTTTAACTTTGCTCCAAACTTTTGGGAATAAGTAAGTAAGTCACTAGTACGACATTCGGATTTTTTTGAATTGTTCTTACCTCTCAACATCTATACATATAAAACAACGCGAACAGGTAATTTTTATCTTCGTTATTGGAGCTATAGTATAGGTTCAAACTAAAAAAGAAATATATTTGGAGCAAAGTATCCCGCTTTTAAGGTAATATATACTATAGGTAGTTCAGATGTTTCCAAACTTCTCATGATGGTATCTTTTTTTATGATTTTTTAATTTTGGAGACTCACAACATATTGATGACTATATAGGGCTTAGATTTAAATGCCCTTAGAAATATCGAAAAATACCCTTTCAAATAATGCATTTTTACCTAAAAAGTCTAAAAAAATGCCCTAAAAACAACGAAAAATGTATTTAAAAAAAATGTATTTATGACTTTAAAAACCAGAAATTCACCAGACACCTAGTATATCTTTAAGAAATCAAAATAATTTATTTGAAAACAGATTACCTTGTGTTGTTTTAGTACAATATGACGTGTACTTACCTATTTATATATTATATTTTTTAATTTTTTCGTTATATTACTAGAAATAGGTTAAAAACAGGGCTTGAAACCGCTCCTGAAGAAATAGGTTACCGGGTCCGATAGGACCCGGAAAATTTTTTGGAACCGGTTACCGGTTATCGAGGTTTTTAGAAATAATGATAATCATTTCCCGCTTACCGAAATAAATTTTATAAATGGGATTACCGGTTATCTATTTGGAAGCGGTTTTAAATCTTCAAAATTACCGGTTACCTCACAAAACCATTTTTTTTTTTGTTTTTGTTTTAATACCTACTCTATTTTTTTTCATCAAACTTAACATGTTTAGTATAGTACTACACAATTTTGTTCAGTATTACTATTATTACGAACTAATGTAACGAACTTATTATTAAATAATGAATATCAAAACAGTCCCTGATCATAAGTTATAACGTACCTATTACCTAGTACTTGGTACAATATCGTACATGCAAGAGTTATATACTATTATATATATATGTATCAGCCCGCATTCGTCGATGTTTCTACCATTCGTATCAGTATTCAGTACCTATATCATAGGTACTGACTACTGAGAATATTTTGTTAGTGCGCCGATACGATTCCGCAATCAAACACGCTTGTTTTGGTATTTTTAAATTTTAATACTTAGTAGTTCTAAAATAATCTATTTTAGTATTTTATAAATATTATTTTCTTCTATTTAGAATATTCAATATAATTTAAAAAAAATTATTTTTACGTTAGTTGGTTTGAGATTTAAGGTTTTGTATACTTCCGATTAATTAACCGGTTCTAAAAATAAACGGTTACCGTTATAGATTTCTCCCTTTATCAAATTCCGTGATTACCGGTAATTGATAACCGCTTCTCAAAATTGAAACTCGAGAACCGGGAAGCGGATACCCGTCCAAAAAGTACTCATGGTAACCGGTTACCGGGAAAAATCGGTTACCGGTTTCAAGCCCTGGTTAAAAATATCCTAAAAATTCATAAAAATTCACCAAAAAGAGTTTGTTATTAGCGCACAGTGCATGTACTTGAAACACATTTGTATCTTGGAAAGCATTGTGTTAAGAATTCTAGAAAAAAGATGCATGTGCATCGTAATCCCGAGCACTAATGGCTTTTTTTTTGCTAATTTATTGTTGCTATATATATTTTAGTCTGGCATCGTCAAAGTGACGCATCGCTATACACTCGTAATGGTCGCGCGTGGATAACGATTAATGATAAATGATAAAACTAAATTTGGACATCAACGAAAAGTAATAAAATGTAAAATATATAGTCACATGGAAAATACTGTAAATTGTATACTTAAATAATACGTATAATATAAACAATATATATCATATATAATATTTAAAAACTTCATGCCACCCACAGTTCGGGAACCACTGTATAACAGCTTATAAGTATAGTGCATATATATTATTAATGTTCGATATATGAATAATCTCGTGAGTCGTGATATAAGATGTATATATTATTATTATATCATATATATTATATATATATATAATGGCCTTTCAAACGATCACTTTTGTTGATTAATTTTTATTTTATACTAATATATTATTCTCGAGCGTAACCTTCTTAATGTCTAACTATTCAAAAAAAAGAAGAATCAAACTAAAAATCCCATCGATGGTTGCTAATTTTTACGAAAAAATCCTGTATACAGTGGCGGCGCTAGGCGTGGGCGAAGTGGGCCATTGCCCACGGCCTCGCACCTCAAAGGGCCTCGCGTTCCAAAGGGACTTATAATTAACCATAGAAAAATATGGGAGAAGTATCTATACAAAAAATTTTGTATCCATGTATTGGAAATGTTAGTTAAAACTTTAAAAACTAGTAAATAAATGTAATCGAATATTATTTTTATTTAACACTTCTCATACATAATTTTATAAATATTACATAATAATTTATTATTAAAATATAATTAACTATCCTACTATCCATATGTAGGTATCATGTCTGGATCTAGTAGAGACAGAGATACTGGTCGGAAATGGGAATCTGGTGCTTCCAAAAGAAAGATTTATAAGCATTGTTGTGATTTAGGTACAGTTCTTCAAGAGGGTGAAAAGAGCGACATTCAATCATTTGAATTATACGAAGAATTACAACTCATAATTTCAAGTCTACCAGACTTTATTAAGGATGCAAAACAACTCATCAAATACATAATAGAAAATAATTTACAAGAAATATATCCAAATGTTTATATAACAGTCAGAATTATGCTCACTATTCCTGTCAGTACAGCTTCAGCAGAGAGAAGTTTTTCGAAGCTTAAAATAATTAAAAATTACCTACGAAATACGATGACACAGGAAAGACTCTCAGCATTAGCAGTTTTGTCCATTGAAACGAAAATTGCAAATAATTTAAATTACGAAGATATACTTAAAACATTTAGTGAAGCAAAAAGCCGAAAAGTCCATTTCTTGTAGATAAAAAAAAATGAAACTTCTAACAGTATTATTAATTTAAAAAAATATGTATTTAATTTTATAATTATGTATAAATAAAATTATATTAACTACTTTGCAAATAAAAGGTTAATAATTTATTAGAGTTTATTGTTTTAAAAAATTGTAAATCTTAATATTTATTAAATAACTATTGTTACTTAAATGTTTATTAAAAAATTTAAAAAAAAGGGCCTCTTTAAGTCTACTTCGCCCACATATAAATTTTACCTCGCGCCGCCACTGCCTGTATACTGTATAGGTATACATAATTGTCCTCTAAACATAATATATAAATGTTTAATACTTGGATCATATATAATAGTATAATATGATCTAAGGTTTAATATTTTATATGCAGTGAAAAAAATAATAAATTAATCGTTATACCTAATACAGTTACTTATTGGATTAAAATAATTTGAATTCATTTAAAATTTAAATACAAAGGTAATAATAATCTCAATTTTATATAGATTAAAACTATTTTCACCAAATTATATTCAAAATTCTGCAAACAAATTAAATTTAGATAAATCATAAATTAGATCATTTTTTAGTTCTTATAACGCGTATAATGTACGATGTGCTTACTAATGTATGCATACTTCAAAAGGAAACAGTTGTTTGTGTGTAACAACTAATTATGTAACCTTTGATTCAGTTTAACGATACACATATTATGTCTACCTGTTGAACTAATATAATTAAGGTTTTAAAATAGGTTGGATTTAAGCAATATGAAAACAGTTCGGCTCCCATATTGTAGTGATTTAACATGAAAAAAAAAGGTTTTAAAATAGGTAAACCGTTGTTGTGAAAAATAAAAATTTAAACTACATTCAGAATCATATACTTACCCGTATATATGTTGTCAAGTCAATATAGGTAGGGGCTGATTCAGAGGGGGCGATTAGGGTAAAACTGTGAACAGTAACATAATATGTATGTAGGTACCTAAATAAATATACTTTAAGATGGACTAACCTATAAGAAAATTATTTTTTAATTAATTTTATCTATATCATGTGTGACCAGTGGCGTCTTTTCAGTTTTTAATAGAGGGTGAAAAAGTTTTGACCAGCCCTAATGGGTAGCAGGGTAGATAACTTAAAACACACACATAAGCACATATTAACTATTAATATTTAATGTTCTTTTTCTTTTATAAAACACATATATACATTAAACATGCATACATACCAACTTGACACATACATCTAAATATAAATATATACCAACTATTAATTAGTAATTATTAATTAAAAATTTGTCATTGTGACATTAAATTTATAGTACCTACACAGTATAATATTTTTACGTTTCCTATAAATATAGGCATGTTTTTGCGCTATATAATATAATATTGGTTAATTGAAAACCACTGAGCACCGGCCCATTGGACTGCTTTTAAAATCAGACCTGGGCAAATTCCCCCCTCCCCTTACCTCCTGCCAAATGACGCCACTGTGTGTGAACTTTAAAATTCGCCCCCCCCCCCAATGTTATCTTTGTACACCCTGAATATTCTGTGATATATATATAAAACTTATTCAAAATTACACTATATCAATATATCCTGAATATAATAATTTATCAATTCTGATATTGTTAATTATAGTTAAAACTAATATGCATTATGCTTCTCTATTTAAGTTAGGCATATTCATATTTCATTACCTAGGTATGTATTTTAATATTTATATTTAGGTATATAAAATATTATAAATACATACAAAAATGATATTGTTTTGTCTAAAAACTTTTGTAATAATAATATAAATAAATCTTAAATGATGTTAAGTACATATCTACAGTGTGTCTGTGTATACTGTAAGTTATTAGTAGGTAACATACTAACATTGACAAAATTAAGCAAATATTAATTGTTATAATTGTTTAATATACTTAAATACGACTTAAGCTCTAAATCTTAAATCCTAATGAGATTATATTTTTTTTTATCTGTATGCAACTTTCATAGTTTCATATTATAATCGTACACCATATTAGCTTAACATTAAAAATTAATTCAATTCTTATTTCCTTATAAGAAGACATAGATAGATAAGACTATACGAGATATATATACAGTCATATAGATATAGTAATGTAGATGAAGTTTACTTCGTACTCTCATTGGATAATTTCCAAATGAAAATTTCATGTGAATTATTTTACATTCATGACCCCAAAGTATATTATAATATATTAATAAAATAGAGCGTATTATATATAGCAATTAACTATGTGTATTTTTTAATGCAGGTGATTTTAGGTATAAATTAAAAAAAGGTGGGCAAGTGGGTGTCGCTCTGCTGTACAGTAGGTTACAAGTGGGTCACTGTATAATGGATGATATTAAATTTGAATTCAACGATATAATATCATTGTATAAGAAAAACGATTCTGAGCGGAGACGGTATGTCAGTCTATGTTTAAGACATATTATATACATATCTATGGTATTAAACAAAAAATTGACCTATAATAGGTACCTATAATAAATTCCAAATTAATCATATCACAATGTCCATTAGGTACTTATAACGCAATATACATCAACAAAACCGTGATACTATCATAGATATATAATAGTACACTTTAGAAGTTTCAAGTACCCACGAATAATATTATTCAATCACAACAAAATAACTAAAATAGTTATTCTAGGTTTTTTAATATGTAATTTCGTCCAAATTTGAATTTAAAATGTCTGTAAAAAATAACTGTGTTCATATATTTTTTAGATTTTTTGGTTACAGTATGAACTATTTATGAGAACCTTTGTTTTAAATTTGCAATCCTTAGCTATAAAAACTGAACATTTTATAATTTATTAATTTCAATGATTGATAATTTTCGAGATTTTGATAAATTTTGTCAAAATTTGATCTTTAAATGCTTATAAAAAAAAACTGTGCCTATGTATTTTTAATATTTTTCAACTGCTATTGTAACAGTATATCAGGAGCCTTGTATTAAATTTTTACACTTTTTGGCCCAACAGATAAAACTTTATTGATATTTATAGAAAAAAAAACTAAAAAAAATTGAAAGCTGTAAATGTCCATAAACAGCTCAAAAAGAGTCAAAATATTTTCAAAATTGTATGGTGTATAGAAAATGCTAATTTAAACATTCAGTGAAATTTTCATGTATCTACAGTTATTTGTTTTTGAATTACAACAAACTAAGGAAATCGCTACATGGGAAATCGAGTGAATATTCAATGTTGTAAAAATTTGAATTTCAAACGCTCATAAAAATTTAATTTGACTTTCTTATAAACATTTTTTTTTTTGATAAAGGTAGATAATCTTATAAGGAATCTTGTGTTAAATTTTCAAATCTTAGATTTAAAAAGAAAAATTTTTACGAATTCTTAACTCAAAATAATTTGCTAATTTTCGTGATTTTTCCATATTTTGTCAATTTTTGAACTTTAAGTGCTTATAAAAAAAAATTGTGACTAAGGATTTTTAATATTTTTCATCTGCCTTTGAAACAACATATTAGGAGCCTTCTATTAAATTTTCAAGCTTTCGCAACCAACAAATAAAATTTTATTGATATTTCTAGAAAAAAAACTAAAAAAAAATGAAAAATGAAAATGTCCCTAAACAGTTCAAAATAAATCAAAATATTTTGAAAATGTTATCGTGTATAGAAAATGCAAATATAAACAACCAGTGAAAATTTCATGTATATACGTTCATTTGTTTTAGAGTTACACCAAAAACCAAAATCGATTTTTTGGAAAACCAATTTTGCGTAAAAATTCCCGTTTTTCCTTAATTTTTATGTTGTTTTTCCCGGCGCTTGTGAAAACTACTGGGAAATTTATACTTTTGACCCCCCAAAGTACCAACTAGATTCACTTTCCTATCAGAAAAGCTACTGATGAAGAAAATCCAAGCACTTTTACTGTCCTAAAACGTGATGACAGACACAAAAATAAAAAAAAAAATAAAAAAAAATAAAAAAAAAATAAAAAAAAAAACACACATCATTGTAAAATCAATACATTCATCGTTTCACTCAGAATCTAAAAAATTAATACAAAATATACAATTAAAAATACTGTAAACTGGATGTATAAATCAATTTTTATGTGTAAATGTATACCTATACCAGGGATGGCCAACCCGCGGCCCGCCTTGGAAAGTTTTGCGGCCCGCGACATATATCAAATATTTACAAAAAAAAATATTTTTGCGCCGATAGAATATTCTGGAATGCCCGTGCAACGCGGTATCTGTATTATTAACAACGTAATCGCAACAAAAGTAATAATTCTAATCTAATCTGATAAAAGTATATATACGAGTAGACACCAGCTTATAGTAATATAGCAAATCGAATTGTTAAAATAAAACGTGGCTAATAACAGTCATAATCTGTTCGTTCGCTGTGACTGTTGAAGTGCGTTCAGTGTGGAAAAATATTTAAGTACGTACTTTTTTTATTATTGTATTTTTTTTTTTTAATATGAGTGTGGCAAAGAAAAGAAAAATAGTAGACGAAAATAGAAAGTACAGTGAGGAGTGGGAAGAAAAGTACTTTTTTATAATTCAAAACACAAAATTAATGTGTTTGATTTGCCGAGAAACAGTAGCTGTATTTAAAGAATATAATGTTAAAAGGCATTATGAAACAAAACATAATGATTATTTGAAATTTAGTAGTGAAGTGAAACAATCGAAGCTCAGGGAATTTACGTCACAATTAAAAACTCAACAAAAAATGTTTAGTTCAGCATTACAGCAACCATCTAATATCGTTAAAGCAAGTTATTCTGTCTCATTTTTGATTGCAAAAAAAATGAAAAAATTTTCAGATGGTGAATTTGTGAAAGAATGTTTGGAAGCTGTAGCAAAGGATATTTTACCTGATAAAAATAAACTTTTTTCGAATATAAGTTTATCCCGACAAACAGTATGTCGTCGAATTAATGACATTTCAAACGAAATTATTGTAAA